TTTATTATTTTTCACTCGACTTCCGACGATCGGTTTCGACGCTCCAAGCTCGAATTACCATCGTTTAAATATTTAACACTCGAGCGACGAATTAATTTCTTCCGAATTAATTCGTCGAGTCGGTTCATATATTTTTCTTGGGTGTAACCCGAAGGGTTCAGTCAAGATTAAGCCGTAATATTAATTATATTAATATTACTGATCGGAAGCGGCCTCCACCCAACCATTCCGATCACTTGACCTTACTGAATATATTAGCTTTCTAATAATTCTGAACCCGCTATCAGAATAATACACTTGTTCGAAGGACACAATTCCTTTTAATCTCCCACTTGTCCTTCCGGACAAGTGTGCATTTAGTGTGTAGCCCCTTTTCTATGTCTCTTCATGAACTACAGAGTAAGATTACTCGTCATCTCTGTTACGTCCAGAAGTGTTTCTCGAAATCCGAGTTTGACTGTCAATAAGCAGATGATTTCTAAAATCCATCTGAGCACGACCATGCATTTTCATAGTCTCGATCTTCGAGAGGCCTTGTAAACAACAAGACATGTTCCCTATTGTTAGTAGGGGGACATTTCCAGTCTTGTAATGTAGCTTCTCTTACTAAGAGGACCTAGCCGCCCGATATCTGTTGTTATAATCTCAGTTACGGCAGACGTTTGGCGGATACCAAAGCGGACTAGTACTCAAACAAGAGACCTCCCACTACTCATGGTCAAGGAAAAGAGTTCCGATAGTAATAATGAGAAAAATACTTGTGACGATTTTAAATCTCTTAAAGTATTCTCATAGGTCGATCCAGTATGGTTCTAAACCAATACCTGTGCAAATGATTTATATCCTCATAGCACAAGAAATGGTGCTAGAAATCATACTACACACTAATCTCTAACGGTCATTAATCGTCCACAAAAAATATGACCTTGATTAGGGATAATTTTCGATTAAAATATTCAATGTTCACTTAATAGGTGTTTCTTTATCCAAGCCATTGACTTGATACCCTATTTTGAATATTTATTAAAATCGAATGGACTCATTATTTAATTCTAAACCACAATTAAATAGAGACGGAGTGAATTAAATTGCATGAAAATTTTTAATTACTCCAAAAACTGAATGGTTCATCATAGTGCTTTACATTAACATTGTCCAAAATTTAATTAAAACACTATAATATGGAAATCAAAGCCAGTTCGCGACATGCTTGATTCCCATTGCCTCAATGTGTTTGTTGTGCTTCACTTGAGACAAGGGTTTTGTAAGTGGATCTGCTACATTGTCATTTGATCCCACTTTTCAAATTCTGATTTCACCCTCTGTCTTCCATTCTCGAATCATGTGAAATTGCCTCTTGACATGTTTGACCTTCTGATGTTCTCGTGGCTCTCTAGCCTGAGCAATAGCTCTATTGTTGTCACAATGGAGGTCTATTGGACCCTGGATGGAGGGTACAACACCAATTTCATCAATGAACTTGCGAATCCAAACTGCCTCCTTGGCTGCCTCAAACGCTGCCAAGTACTCAGCTTCAGTTGTAGAATCAGCGGTTGTGCTTTGCTTTGCACTCTTCCAACTAAACGTTCCTCCATTGAGACAGAATATGTATCCGGATTGTGACTTGGAGTCGTCTCTGTCTATCTGGAAGCTTGCGTCGGTATATCCCTAACCAACAATTCATCTTTACCGCCATAGACCAGGAATTTATCCTTGTTCCTTTTCAGGTACTTCAGAATATTCTTGGCCGCAGTCCAATGCGCCTCTCCTGGGTCTGATTGGTATCGGCTCGTAGCACTCAAGGCATACGATACATCCGGCCTAGTACATATCATGGAATACATGATCGATCCAATAAGCAAAGCATATGGAATACGACTCATCCTTTCTCGCTCATCAGGTGTCTTTGCACACTGCTTCTTGCTTAAGGTTATGCCATGTGACATGGGTAGGTGCCTTCTCTTGGCTCCTTCCATTTGGAATCGAGCTAGTACCTTATCGATGTAAGTACTTTGACTCATTCCTATCATCCTCTTTGTTCTATCCCTATATATCTTGATGCCTAGTATGTACTGAGCCTCTCCCAAGACTTTCATTGAAAAACATTTCCCGAGCCAAGCCTTTACAGACTCTAACAACGGAATGCTATTTCCAATGAGCAAAATGTCATCGACATATAAGACTAGGAAGGCGATGTCACTCCCACTGACCTTCGTGTAAACATAAGATTCATCTGGATTCTTGATAAAACCAAACTTACTGATGGCTTCATCAAATCGCATATTCCAACTTCTTCTTGCTTGCTTTAATCCATAAATGGACTTCTAAAGCTTGCATACCTTCTTAGGATTGTTCTAGTTGACAAAACCTTCAGGCTGTGTCATGTACACAGTTTCTTCCAAAATTCCATTGAGGAAGGCGGTTTTGACGTCCATCTTCCATATTTCATAATTGCAATATGCAGCAATCGCTAGAAGAATTCGAACGGACTTAAGCATAGCTACTGGAGAAAAGTTTTAATCAACGCCGTGAATTTGCCTGTAACCTTTTGCTACCAGCCTTGCTTTGTAAATGAATACATTTCCATCTTTGTCGGTTTTCATCTTGAAAATTTACATCCGATAGGTGTGTAACCTACGGGTAAATCAACCAAGTCCCATATTTGATTTTCAAACATGGAGTCCATTTCGGATTTCATGGCCTCTTGCCATTTTGTAGAGTCGGGGCTCGTCATAGCTTGATTGTAGGTTGCCGGCTCATCTCCATGCACTACTAGGATGTCATGATCTTCGGTTAATACAACACCGAGATATCTGTCAGGTTGAGATCTTGGCCGAGTTGACCTACGTAGGGTGATGGACTGAGCATCTGCATTGTCAGTTTGACTTTGCATATTTTGACTTTGACCAATGTCAACAGATGCTTCATGAGCACTTTGATTGTCAACTTGTCCTTGTTGCTCGTCCTCTCGAACTTCGTCGAGTTTGATTTTCCTCCCACTTGTCATTTTGGAGAGATGCTCCTTCTCTAAAAAGACACCATCACAAGCAACAAACACTTTGTTCTCAGATTTGTTGTAGAAGTAATACCCTTTGGTTTCTTTTGGATAACCCACAAAGTAAACCTTGACAGATTTCGGATGAAGTTTGTCAGAAATGAGTTTCTTGACATATGCTTCGCATCCCCAAATCTCGAGAAAAGACAACCTTGGAGGTTTATTTGTCCATAATTCATATGGAGTCTTTTCCACTGCCTTTGACGGAGCACGATTCAATGTAAGTGCCGCAGTTAAAAGTGCATGTCCCCAGAAAGAGATTGGAAAATCACTAAGACCCATAGTCGATCGGACCATGTCTAACAGGGTTCGATTCCTCCTTTCAGATACTCCATTCCATTGAGGAGTTCCCGGAGGTGTCAACTATGAAAGTATTCCATGTTCTTTCAGATGGTCATCGAATTCTTGGCTCAAATATTCGCCACCTCGATCCGATCGAAACGCTTTGATTTTCTTGCCGAGTTGGTTTTCAACTTCGTTATGAAATTCCTTGAATTTATCAAACGATTCAGATTTGTGCGACATTAGATAGACATAACCATATCTACTATAGTCGTCCGTGAAGGTTATGAAATACCGATAACCATTCCTTGCGGGTGTACTCATTGGCCCACATACATCGATGTGTATTAGTCCTAACAAGTCACCGGCCCTTTCTCCCAACTTGGAGAATGGTTGCTTTATCATCTTGCCTAATAAACATCCTTCGCAATTCTCAAAGGATTCTAAATCAAATGAGTCAAGAATACCTTCTTGAAGAAGCTTCTTGATGCGTTTGATGTTAGTGTGGCCAAGACGACAATGCCACAAGTAAGTTTGACTAGACGGTGTAGTCTTAGCTTTCTTTGCATTGGTATCAAACATTTTGTCTAAAAACACGTGAAAGTGTCATTCCATAAATATATTCAAGACATCAAAACAAAAGTCTTGGTTGATGAAAACGACGTCCAACGTCGGAAATACATCAAAAGTATGGTGCATAAAACTAAATAAGTTCTACTTCTTTAGACAAAACATGAGATTACAAGTTTTCTTGGATAGATCACCTTTATCATACTTGTGTACTCATTTCCACATGAAAAAGCACCGCTCACTTGGTTCCTGAAAAAGGAGTGTATTGTGAGTCAATTTTCCGGTATCTAATACCTTTTAAAATTGCTTATATTCAAGTGTTTAAGATGATACCTGAGGTTGAGGTTACTTTTCCTTTTGCCTCATCATCCAGATACTTGCTGCATTCTCTTTTGTAGTGTCCGGGGTTACCACAATAGAAGCAGCGCATCTTCCTCCACTACTAGAAAACACCTTAATTGCGACGGAAAAAGTTCATCGTAAACTATGTAAATTCTGTCGTAAAGTTGGTTTACGACGGAATTCCGTCGTAAATGGTTGTCGGAAAACCTTTGTAGGAAAATGGCCATTTTACGACGGAAATTCCGTCGTAAACCAACTTTACGAAGGATTTTACGACGGAAATAATATCGTCGGACTTGGAATTGGCCTTTGATGAAGTTCCGTCGCAAATTTGCGACGGAAAGAGTTCCCTCGCAAAATATAATTTACGACGGAATTTTCCCTCGCAAAATATAATTTGCGACGGAATTTTCCCTTGCAAATTATAATTTGCGACGGAATTTTCCCTCGCAAAATATGATTTGCGACGGAATTTTCCCTCGCAAAATATAATTTACGACGGAATTTTCCGTCGCAATGTATATTTGTACGATGGATAATTCTGTCGTAAATCATATTTTTCGAGGGAAAAACCGTCGCAAATTATAATTTGCGAGGGAAAATTCCGTCGCAAATATGTAAATTATGACGAAATATTCCGTCGCAAATTGTATTTCCAGCTCAAAACAAATTTTTGTAATTTTCTGCATTTTCAAACCTGAATTTTTTTAATGATAAATCGACAAAAAAAAAAATATTGAGTCCTAAAATTGTTGTTTTTAAAAAATTAATTACCGACCTACGAAATTAGGATTATGTACATATATATATAATAATTATGTCCTAGTACAAAAGATAGTCCACATTTTGAGGGTTCGACGTAAAAAGAGGACCCAATCCCATTCCGGACGTAGGATTGGCTTGAGAAAGCAAGACTATCTATACCAAACAAAATCTAGGTTAGAGTGATTCTATGCTAGACTAAAACTAAGCTACGCAATCGCCTGTAAACCCTGGCCTGCTCCACCACCACCCGGGTCGTTCCTAGGGTCTCGATGCTGAGGATGAATGGTGGAACATGAGTCGTTGTTGTTGAGACGACTCATCATCTCATCGAAACTCTCCTTGTATCTCCTCTCCATTTCAGCCATTCGGGCTTCCATTTGAGTTTGAAGAGTTTGCACCCTGTGTTCCATCTGGTCTTGCATTTGGGAAATGACAGACGGCGTGTATTGCTGTGAAGAACGGGAACCTCGACCCTGTTTGCCATAGTAGAACTCTGCACTTTGGCCAAGTCCCTTCACACGCCCCTTCTTATTGCGCCCACCCACCGACTCCCAATACAACTCATTGGGACTCTTCTGAATCCCCTGACTCATTGTTTCTTCGAGCTTCTTCTGGTAGGTGTCCTACAAAATATTGAAGATAAAATAAAATATTGTTAAAAAAACAACCAACAATATGGAGTTATATTTCATAATTTTAGGTTCCTAAGGATAGAAATTAAGAAAATTAAGCACATATGTCAATTTTCAACCCTCACTCATCCAAAATCATCCAAATTTGGCCTATATGGCTAAAACCATGCTTATTTTCTAAGTTTTCAAGCAAATGTAAGGTTTCTTTCTTCTAACATTCCAATATCAATTGCTTTTAAGTTCCTATGGATAGATATTAAGAGAAATAAGCACATATGTCAATTTTCAAACCCTCACTCCTCCCAAATCATCTAAATTTGGCCTATATGGCTAAAACCATGCCTATTTTCTAAGTTTTCAAGCAAATGGACTCGTTATTTCTTCTAACATTCCAATATCAATTTCTTTTAAGTGCCTAAGGATAGAAATTAATAGAAATAAGCACATATGTCAATTTTCAACTCTCACTCCTGCAAAATCATCCAAATTTGGCCTATATGGCTAAAACCATGCCTATTTTCTAAGTTTTCAAGAAAATGGACTCGTTCTTTCTTCTAACATTCCAATATCAATTGCTTTTAAGTGCCTAAGGATAGAAATTAAGAGAAATAAGCACAATTGTCAATTTTCAACCCTCACTCCTCCAAAATCATCCAAATTTGGCCTATATGGCTAAAACCATGCCTATTTTCTAAGTTTTCAAGAAAATGGACTCGTTCTTTCTTCTAACATTCCAATATCAATTGATTTTAAGTGCCTAAGGATAGAAATTAAGAGAAATAAGCACATATGTCAATTTTCAACCCTCACTCCTCCAAAATCATCCAAATTTGGCCTATATGGCTAAAACCATGCCTATTTTCTAAGTTTTCAAGCAAATGGACTCGTTCTTTCTTCTAACATTCCAATATCAATTTCTTTTAAGTGCCTAAGGATAGAAATTAAGAGAAATAAGCACATATGTCAATGTTCGACCCTAACTCATCCAAATTCATCCAAAATAAGCATATATTGAGTTCTACTTTGCTAATTTGCCATATTTCAACTCATATAATAAGTGTTTACCGCAATCCTTTTTGCTTTGTTTTTGGCAGCCACTTGGCCTTTACCAGGCACTTCCTTGAAGTGTGTCTTCAAGAATAGATCATGGGCATTTGGTAATTGGCCTTGGTTTTTTGCAGCCTTTATATGTACATGCAGAAAATCAATGAAAACATGTTAGCCCACCAAAATTCATTAATAGACAAATGACATAATTGTTACTGGACATATTGTAGTAACCTTACCATCTTTTTAGCATGTTGTACAGATGACATTGAACCTTGAAAGTGGGTCGGTTCAACAACATTTTCCATGGATCCGCCTCTTCGGTTCTTCTTGTTTTGTTCCGACCACTTCTGATATTTTGGATTGGTGGCAACAATTTTCATCATGCCTTCGTGGACATCCTTATTAAGCCATCTTGGTTTGCGACCATTCAGTCTGTGTGTGATGTTGTAGAACGTGTCACGTAGGCGATTTGCAAACTTTTCTTCGAAAGTGTCCTTCACTTGGTTGTTTAACTCAGGTGCCCACTTGAATTTTTTCTGCAAATCAAGAAAATGTCTTTATTACAAAATTCAACTCCATCAATATAATTTATAAAACATGTATTATGTTAGGTTAAAGTTATCATACGTTGAACAAGTTCCAAAAGTGCTCTCTCGAATCTTCATCAACCTCTTCATAATTCCTCCAAGGCTGAACATAGTAGCCAGTTAGCGAGTCGGAGAGCACATTCTTCACCGGCCTATCATCAAACCTATAATAAAGGATAGACATTCATGTAAGTAGATAATCAACAAAAAGTGAACAAAACATGGTTAAAGTAATACAAATTCACTTTATCAAAGTAAATACGAATTTAAGGATATTTCATTATACAAATATGTACGCACCAAAGTGTGGAAGGGTCCAACTCTAGCAAGTCATTAGGATGCGAGTCATGTAGCTCCTATTCCTGAAGCTGTTGTTGCTCCTGTTGCCCTTGTACATTTCTGACGATTTCTTGAGAGGCCCCCAAATCATGTGCCTCTGCTTCCTCCATTGACTCATCCTCGTCAACACGTACAACCGGAGATTTCCCCTTAGACTTTCTCCTCTTGGACGTTTCTCCTTTATTTCCTCCTCCCATGATGACCACCTGAAAAAGTTATTAGTACCATAATCGCACATTGTAAATTCATCAATTAGATCCATAAGACATTAAAATAATAAAATGAGACCAAAAATGTAATGCAATATTACAAATCCGAGTAGTCATTAAAAACTAAACATTCGAAGACAATAGTAAAAGGAGTAACTACATATTCTCCTCTTCATTACTCTTATCACTACTACCACTATCATTATCACTATCATTATTACTATCACTAGTGTCATCTAAAAATACATCGATGTCCTCTTCTTCGTCACTGTCACTGGAGCCAATGCTTTCTTCTTCTTCTTCATCGCTTGAGATTATAAAGCCATCGTCATCATCATCATCACTATCAAGTTCATAGTCTGGAATGTCATTTGGTGGACAAAGCGTTGCATGTACTTGTGGGGAAGGACCCTGCAAAAACTCTAAATCCACCGGAGCATCAATCACCAACCTTGCTTGAGTTCTAAATACAACCCACCATTGAACCCGATCACGTTTAAGGCTAGGGTAAGATGCATAATACACTTGAGACACTTGGTAAGATAAGACAAATGGATCATACTTGGGATACTTCTTAGTATGATTTACTTCGACAAGCTTGTATTGTTCATGAATGTTCATTCCTTTACCACAATCCATCCAACTACAACTAAACAGAATAGTCTTGTACTCTTTTTCAGGACCGGTGTAGACAAGTTCAATTATGTCATTTAAAATGCCAAAGTACTCTCCACCGTCCTCAATTGAGACACACACCCCGTAATTCAACGTATATTTATGTTTGCCATAGGACTGTGTGTGGAAATTAAAGCCACCGACAAATATCTGGTTCCAAGTTCGAACACGCTTGAAAGGCCTCATAGACAATGCTCGCAACACATCGGAACTTGGTTTTTGTTCTCTCACCTATAACCGTTACGAATACAAGCGTCACACTAATTGAAATGAAATATATTATATTATATTATCACAAATTAATCGAGATGCAATGTTCGAAAGGTATTATCACCTTGTGATGAAACCAATCAGGGAATTCACTTTCGCATTTCTCCATGACATCTTCTCGACGCAAATAAGTTCGAGTACTAAGAATGTAGTCCTCCAACTTCCTAATAGATTAATGACACATGGTTAATCATTGCAGCAATTATATTAAATTTAAGGGATTTTCAAAAGTTTATCGTAAACATATATACCTTTCGTATTCACCAAGAATGCCGGTATTTCTTAAAACGAACAAATGAGCACGTTCGAGTTCCTTGTCATCTAAATACCGAGTTTTACCCAAATTTGACACACAACCCTTATCCACCGTGAACAGCTCTGGGATTTCATCGTTGTCAGCCGGGGATTCCACATCAGCATTCACATTTCGACGTAGATCTCGTGTTTTTGTGTCAACTGAGGGCTTAAAGTAATTGGAGCAGAAGTTTGATATCTCTTCAGTGAGATAAGCGTTGCATATGGAACCTTCAACACGAGCCTTATTACCAATTTTTCGTTTCAGGTGATTGAGGAACCTGTAATTATGTTTATGTAGCCGTAGAAGTATAAGTAACGGAAATCAATGAAAGAGATGAAAGTAAGAGTTGAGAAAGGACTTTGTTTTTACCTTTCGAAAGGATACATCCACCGATATTGAACAGGTCCACATAACTTGCCCTCATATGGCAAATGAATTGGTAAATGCTCCATGGAGTTGAAGAAAGATGGGGGGAAAACCTTCTCAAGCTTGCACAGGATCTCAGCTATGTTTTTTTCCAATCGCTCCATGTCGCTAACTGTAATTGTGTAGCAACATAAATCGCAAAAGAATTGGCTTATTTCTGTAATTGCATTCCATATATAGGTAGGGAGCAATTCTCTCAAAGCAGTGGGCAACAACCTCTCCATGAACACGTGACAATCATGACTTTTCATTCCATGTAACTTACCTGATTGCAAATCAACGCATCGGCTCAAATTGGAAGCGTAACCATCAGGAAACCGCATCTGTTTGACCCACTCACACAAAACCTTTCTCTGAGCCTTGTCAAGAGCAAATGGAGCCTTTGGCATGAATTATTTTCCTCTATCATCCTCTTGAAGATGTAGCTGGGGCCGTTTACAGTATTTAGCAATGTCATTCCGAGCTGATGGGGTGTCACAAGATTGCTTTTTCACGTCCATTATAGTGTGAATCAACTGATCAAAAAAGTTTTTTTCAACGTGCATGACATCTAAGTTGTGACGAACAAGCAGATGTTTCCAATATGGAAGGTCCCATAGAGTGCTTTGCTTGAACCACCCTTTTTTTGCATTCTTGACACGTTTCAGTGCCTCGGGGCCATCTGTTGCTTTCGGGAGGTTTTTCACACATTCCCAAAGTTCCTCTCCTGACATGATGTGAGGTGGTGAACCTTTTTCGACTTTGTTTTTACAAAATGCATTTTTACTATTTCGAAAAGGATGATTTGTCGAAAGGAATTGACGATGGCAGTCAAACCAAGAAACCTTACCACAATTTTTGAGCCAAAATGCTTTGCTTTTCTCCATGCAATATGGACAAGCCTTCTTACCGGCTGTGGTCCAACCAGATAACATACCATAAGCCGGGAAGTCACTAACGGTCCATAGGATGGCTGCTCGAAGATTGAAATTTTGTTTTCTCGAAATATCGTAAGTATTTGCCCCAACTTCCCACAACTGTTTCAACTCGTGTATGAGCGGCTACATGTAAACATCCAAGTTGCCCTTAGGGTTTTTAGGACCAAGAACGAGTAACGAAAGAAACATGAACTGTCTTTTCATACACATTGACGGAGGCAAGTTATAAGGGGTCAAAATGACAGGCCAACATGAATACTGTCCCCCAAACTGACCATGTGTAGAAAATCCATCCGTACATAGGCCAAGTCGAACATTACGAGGTTCAGAGGCAAACTTAGGAAAGCAACTATCTAGGTGTTTCCACGCTTCACTATCGCTAGGGTGTGCCATTGTGCCTTGAACTCGAGGATTTTTAGCATGCCATGTCATTTCCTCAGAAATGTTTTTAGTTGCAAAAAGCCTTTGCAACCTAGGTGTGATAGGGAAATAAAGTAGAACATTCAAAGGCACTAAGCTACCTTTAGAAGTCTTCTTGTATCGGTCGCTGCCATACACCCTACATGTAGATAATTGAGCATCATCTTTCCAAAACAACATACATCCTTTCGGGCATGCATGAATCTTTTCATGGGGCAGCTCTAACCCCTTAACAATTTTCTTGACCTCATAGAATGTCTCGGCCATGTGGTTGTTGTTAGGAATCGCTTCATTAACCAAAGAAGCAAATCCATCAACACATCTGTGCGGAAAATTATACTCACACTTTAGGCTAGTGATTCTAGAAGCCATCTCTAACACAGACAATGAACTCCCTTCGTACAACGGTTGTTCAGAAGCCCTTAACAAATCAAAAAATGTCTTGGCTTGTGCATTAGGCTCCTCCTCTAATGAAACAGGTGGCTCTTTGGAATGGCCTTGATCTTGAGACTGACCAAAGGCATCCAAAACCATTTCACGATATTCATTTGACTCCTTTCTACGAGTTCCTGGAAACCCTTCCCCATGACACATCCACTCGTAATAATTAGGTAAAAAACCGCTGCGATACAAATGAAGTTTGACCGTATCTGGATCCCAGAGACGTTTGTTTTTGCATTTAAAACATGGACACCTAACTTCATTCGGGTTGCTACTCTCGGGATGATCTTCCACATATTTAAGGAATTCATCTACCCCTTCAAGAACTCGGGATTAATAGAATTCCCAACCTTCCTTTCGTACATCCAGCTACGTTCTTTTCGTTTCATGATTACAAGTTCTACACAACTAACACATATGCCATTAATCACATTAGTCATAAAGCACAATATATATTCATTGTAGATCAAACTGTTATAGAAATGCAAATGAGAAGAGAAATGATTTCCAAGGGTCCTTATCACCCCAACCTAACCCATCTTTGTACGTTCAATCTCACTAGTGAATGTATGCCAGAATTTCAATTCTATGGAAAATCCGGCAGCATCTCCCTACAGTTCCCCGAGTACACAATATAGGCGATTAGAAACACCTATATATGTACCTAGAGAACATTGTAGAGAAATGACAAGCAAGGATCTTCCTTAGAATTAAAACAAAGGAATACATTCACCACCTAAGTGAGAATAAACGTACAAGGACAGTCCCAACCGGGGACTATTCAAGACATACTCCTAATGTGTATGCCTTAAACGGGTATCTAGGCATATGATTATGCAAATGATTTTTTAAAAAATATATATACTTAACTAACATACAAAAAATTATACAAATATATCATAATTAAACTTAACATAAACAAACATATCATAAAACCTTAACATTAATATAAACAAATTAAACCAAACAAAACCAAACTAAACTAACATATCATAATATTAAATATAGTAACATGCATTATAAAGAATTATACTTAAGTAAGAAACATTATATTAAACTAAACAAAACTAAACTAGATTATAATGAACTAAAGTAATCTAACATACATCATATTAAACAAAACAAACAAAACGTACCTAAAGTTTCATAATATTAAACTAATCTAATATACTTTAGTAAAACTAAACTAAATTAAACCACATTATATTAAAATAAACTAAACTAAAGTTTCATAATATTAAACTAATCTAATATACTTTAGTAAAACTAAACTAAATTAAACCACATTATATTAAAATAAACTAAACTAAAGTTTCATAATATTAAACTAATCTAATATACTTTAGTAAAACTAAACTAAATTAAACCACATTAAAAAGTAAACTAAACTAAACTAACATACTTACACAAATAAAAGTAACTAAACTAAACTAAAACACATTATATTAGGGTTTGTAATGTGACTAACCTTTAGATCTGCACTTGTTTTTGACAAATTGTACAAATCCTACATACAAAATATTTTAAGAAAATAATTAAATTAAATAAATAAGGGTTTATTATTAAAAAAAATTAAAAAAAAAATTGGGGAAAGGACAACTTACCAACTGCTTCAGCCACGACGAGGGAAGGGAGGATGCCAGAGGCTGCGGTGGTCAAGGGAGGCTGCGGTTGTGGTGTCAAGGAAGGCTGCAGATTTGAATGTGTTGTAAAAAAAACCGAATAAAAAAAAACGACAAAAAACAAAAACAACTTACCTAGACGTGGCGCCGGCAACAACCAGAAGCGTCAACGGAGGGTCGCCGAAAAACGGAGGCTCGACCTCTTTCTCTTTCTCCTTTTCGTCCTCTTTCGCTTTCTCCTTTTCGTCCTCTTTCTCCTTTTCTTCCTCCTTTCGTTTTGGTCTTCGTCGGCGGCAGATTGGTGAAGACCGGCGCCGAAATCGGGACGGCCGGCGACGGATGCCCCTTTTTCTCTTTCCCTCTCTCTTTCTCTCTCCTTCTCTTTCTTCTGTTTCCAATTCGATTTTTTAGGTTTAGTCCAATTTGGGTATTTTTTAAAAAACGTATAATCTTGCGACGAAATTTTTTTCCCTCGTAATTTTCATTTTACGACGGAATATTTCGTCGCAAACATATTTTCGACGAAATATTCCGTCGTAAAAAGAAAATTACGAGGGAAAAAAATTCCGTCGCAAGATTACTACGGAATTTTCGTCGTAGATATTTAAATCCGTCGTAAAGTTGCGAGGGAAAAAAATCCGTCGTAATTTTTGAATTTTGCGACGGAAAAACCGTCTGTCGGAAGTAAACCGTCGCTATTTTGCCTATTTCTAGTAGTGCTCTTGTCTTTGAACTCCTTCTTCCTTGGTCTAAGGGAAAAGTTATCCTTCTTGCAAGAATAGGTCTTCTGGAGATCTTGGATGACTTCCCTTAAGGACAGTATATCCCTATTGGCGGTGAGACGCATTTTAAGCCCCACATATCCCGAGTGAAGAGAGCTAAGAAGCATGTGACCGCTTGCTCGTCTTCCACTGGTTTGCCAATTAGCTCCAGATGGTTGAATAGCCTTGTCATGTTAATTACATGAGCTTGAAGTGGCATTCCGGGCCTAAGTCTCGCATTGTAGACTTTTCCCCACACCTCTTGTC